CTACTAGCGTGGCACTTGTTACTAGTAGCAAACATTGTTACTACTAGAGGCCGTGATATGATCATGTGATGAGCCTCTTTCCGACATGTCGTGGCGCAACATCGCCCCCCCGAAAGCAGCTTCCCATTGCACAGCAGTCATGTTTTACTTCTGCGATCATTTGATAAAGAGCCCGCTGGCCTGGCCATGCATGTAAGGCACATCAAACCTTGAGACACCAAGCTTTGGTGTTTGGAATTTGAGGGACAGGCATGAGGGTATGACAGAAACAGGAACCTCAAAGAGAGATTTAAGTGTAGCGGCTATATAGCGATGTGTGGCAGGGGAAGTGCCAAAGAAATTTGGCCCAGCCAACTCTTTGGTCATGTGCGACACGTGCTCCATGTGCTCAGGTGATTACCTGAATGTCCAAGTGCACGTGTGCATTGGTGGCAAGCGCGTCTCAGATGACATCCACACCTTTGAAGCAGGTGTGCAGATCGTTTCTGGAACTCCTGGCCGAGTCTTCCACATGATTCAGCGGCTTGGCAGGGCATGGAGATTCTCACAGACTTGTCTCCATGGAGTTGGCCTGGTTGGACCTGTCATGGATTTCCATGTATTCCCACCTGGTGAGAAGATGGCAGTTGCCATTCCACTGTCGAGTCATACTGCTATGCAAAGCTACAAACATCCTGGTCCGGGGAATTCAGAAATCAAAGTTTGGTTGAAGCTAGGGTTTGAGGAACACCCGCATGGAGTATGGCCTATGCTAGTTCATCGGAGTTCACCTGCAGCGGCTCTTTATTTTACTTTTTGCTTCTTGTTTGCATCCAGGCAGCGGCATTTCAGCACGCGCCATATCAAGATGCTAGTGCTGGACGAAGCAGATGAAATGCTCAATAGGCGCGTTTTGGCGGGGACGGTGCGAGCTTAACATTTTATCTCGTTCCAATTCCAGGCCATTGATTTGTGTTTAGATAGGCAAGACTCTTCTTTGTGGGCTGATGTGTGCAAATGTAGTCTCTTCAAACTTTGGGTCTGATTCATTCTCCCTGATGGCTTTTGAAATTCAAGCAAAGCTTTAAAGAAACATACAAATTCATACAAATTCAACAAAATGCCAAAAACAAACACATAGCCAATCACATACTGTGTAGGCTTCTGAAGTGATGGAGTCAGGGGTGGTTTGATTCGCAATTTTTGATAGTGGCAATTGACATGTTGCAGTCGGAGTTGTTTGTGTCTCTTGCTAGAAGAAACCATGCGCTGAATTATTTTTAACACCAATATGATAGACCCGAGATGATAGACGCTGCCGTGAACATATGTGAACATGCATGTTTGTTCAGACAATTTTGTAACAATATAGTGTAACGTGCGTGCCAACAATCTAGCCCCATGCTGCGCAGGGGATTTAAGGAGCAGGTCTACGACATCTACCGATACCTGCCACCATCCACTCAGGCCTGGATTGGCTTTGCCTTTGGGCATGTTCCAGAAAATTAGCCCTGCGACAATGTGAGCAGTCAGACATTCCATGGCTATCTCATTGTGTTTTTTGCTTCAGATTCCAAGCGAGGCACAGGACAACTGGTGAGTTTGTTGGTTAGCAAAATTAAAAAAATAACACACACTAGGTAAAGCAAACCACGTTGAATTTGGCTTTTGCTGCTTCAGGTTGTGCTTGTATCTGCAACCATGCCGTCCCTCGGTCTTTTTTTGGCGACCAGGTTCTTCAGAGAACGCTGCTAAGGAGTTTAGTCTAAAAGAAAGACCATATAATACCTATAGTAGTTTAAGCTAAGCTCGGGCTCCGGAACCACAGACCACTCTATAGACAATAGTGACCATAAGGATCCATAAGTTGGTTTTATGTAATTTGTTTTATTTCCACTTGATTCGGTCAGGTGAAGACTAATGTAGCGAGCTGCAAGTTCGTTGTGTGTCGTTTACCTTTGCCTTGCACGCCAAGGCATGAGGTTTTGGAGATGACGCACAAGTTCATGCTTCCTGGCAGATTGCGTTTGGCGTTTAACTCAAGTAGGAACGTAGGGCCTTAGGGGCTCCATGAGGCTCGTCCCAGAGCTTTGCACGTCAGACCTTGAAGCCACTAGAGGTATGGATGCCACAGTAAATCAGGGACATTTACCATCAACATGAATCACTCCATTGAGACTTGCGGTTACTCAAAAGGAGCATGGTGTTGGCAATGTCCTAATCCCAGATTTGTTGACATTTACACTCAGGTGAAAGAAAAGGCTCCCCGGTTCGTGGTGGTGGCAGAATCTGGAGCCCCTCCAACGAATCCATGTACAATATAGAACGATGGCCCTGGTACCTCAAAACCACAATCCGCCCAGCGCCTTGTACCTCAAAACCAGGCCGGTGCGCTGTTGACAACCCGAAAGGATATACTCATCCGCCCCCCTGAGGAATAACCCTTTCCGCGTCCTGGTGAAGCGCGATGAGCAGCTTGGTGGGTCGAAACGGTGGTCCTCGCGTGCTTGACTGGAAGCCAGGGCGCTGGGAAAGTACCAAAACACAAGCTTGGTGCTTGCTTGCGGAAGACAGGCTTTCTAGACAGCCCCTTGAGGAACAATGATTTGAGGAATCGTGAGCTGTTTTTGCGCCCTTAGAAGTCCACAGGCGCAGTTGCTCCCTCATGGTGGGAAGGATGCAATTCATAGGAGGACAATTATTATATATAATTAAACGCGCATTGTTCGAACATGCTCAACCAAAGTGATGCCATTGAACAATGCCGGCCTCATTAACTGCAACACACTGCAATACTAGACTATACACAGATACTGATACCGTCCTTTGCCATCGCCATAGACCCTTTTCAGAATGTAGGTGCTGACGTCCGTTAGACCTGCGTCCGGGGCGCTCGGACGAGGACGGGGCGATAGGCTCCGCGTGAAGCCTCCGAGAATCACCCTCGGTTGGCATCGGATGTTCCCCTCGGTCCGCCTGGTCCTTGAGTGGTTTTCGGATGTTCCCAAAACCAACATATCACGTTCACTGGGCACCATTGCACAACTGGGCCATCTCAGGTTGACGCTTGAAGGCATCAAGCAGTTCTTCGTGGCAGTGGAGCGAGAACAGCCGCTTGGATACAAAACGGTATTCTTGTCAGAGCTGTCGTTTACCTTTTGTGTCCTTTGAGACGTGTTTCTGACATGAAAGCTAACCCACTGCTATCTTGTTAAAGGCACATGCCCGCTGCTTGTCGCCACGCTTGGCATTGAGGTGGAAGTTCGACACCTTGTGCGACTTGCACCTTGGAGATATCCTTTGGCTTCAGCAACCAGGGGCCCTGCTGTCCAGCAAACAAATCAACTCAAAGCGACCAGACCTTGCGGCCCGTGTATCGTGGCACGTCGATCCTACACACGCCAAAGTGCTTCAATGATGTTTGTCTTGCCTTGCTGTTTTTTTTGATAGTTAAGTTGCATAGGTTTAGCCTTTAGGTCATGGAAACGACAAATTAGACTAGTTCCAAACATCCAAAGTATCAGATCATTGAACCATAGTCTTTTGAGGTTCCACCGTGTTTGTTTTGTTCCTCAGCAGTCACATGTGTTTGTTCGGTCTTGATGACTTTGGTTGATGGAGGTACGATACCCTCACCATCACACAGGCGCATCAAGCTGCAATACTTTAGCAGATCTAGATGCTCCAGCCAGGGCGGCATCAACTGTATGTGAGTTGTAATTTTGAAGAGGCGGATGCGACATTGCCAGATTCACGTAGACCAAACGGACAGATCAACCTCCTGCCATTTATACATATATAGTGCCGGGAATTTGGCTTTGCAGAGCCTTAGATTCGACACATGCAGGCGGTGATTTTCTGCAACACCAAGCAGAAGGCGCAAGAGTTGGTGTGAGTCAGCTATTTTCAGTCACACTTGGATTCAGTTCCTTAAACCTTGAGATGAAGGTGGCCCGAACGAGTTTGTTTGCTTGCATGTTGTGTTTCACGCAAGCGCACTACATTGGCTGCGATTCTTGTACAAATTGCGTATGTGGAAGGGGTGATATATAGACTGAGAATACTGTAGAAAGAGTGATTGCACATTTCCTGCACAGCACTCTGCCAAGAGAGAGAGAGAGAGAGAGAAAGCTGAAAGCAATAGAACATGAACATGGGAGGCCTATGGGCCACAGGAACACAAAGAGACCCCAAATCCCCACAACCTGACTGCCCAGCCGACGAGCTGACTCAGCTGGTCTGAGAGGTGGACTGGTTGACCCAAAAGATGCGCGACGCCAACTTCACAGTCACTTGGATGAGCTTCATTGAGAAGGTCAGTTAGGGCCAGATAAAGTTAAAGGCCAGATGTGTTCACATGTTTTTCCTTTAAATCACTTTTTGATAACTTGAATCGCCACATCCAGGTGGCATCCATCCACGGTGACATGCCTCAAAAGGAGCGCGATGCCATCATGCAGCAGCGCCCTGGCCAAAGAAGGGCAGAATCACCTGAGAGAGGAAGGCTCATGAAGTCACCAGATGCTTCTCAAGTAGTTACAACCTAGAATAACTGATTGATGGAAAGGCCCAAGGACCAAAAGGAGGCCTGTGAGCACTCCTTGGTTGTTTACAATCGCAACCCCGTGGGTTGGACACCAAAAAATGCCGTTTCTTCTGCCATAAAGACCGCCGTGGCAACAGACCTAGTAGTAGGGTGAGAGTTTGTAGTTCGACAACCCCAGCCAAACGATTGACATCATCCTAAGCAGTTGAAACAGAGTCTTGTTCGATACCTGATGTCCTTTGTTTTCTCAACTTTTCCTTGGTCTTTGTCATGGTTTGCTCAGATACTTATCTTATATAGATGTTTTTGATTGTTTCACTCGAGTAGTGCCTGTGTTCGGTCGAACCTCCATCACCGATGCGGCTCCGCTCACGCGCTGCTCAGGTTCCGCTCCGGCACCAGCCGCGTGTTGATCTCCACCGATCTGTGGGGCCGCGGGTTGGATGTGCAGCAGGCGTGGAGTCGAGTCGATCGTCGGTTCGTCGGTTTGGACTCTCGAGGATTTTCGGTTCGTCGGTGATGCCCTTGTTACTAGTAGCTTCTTTGCTCCTAGTAAGGCCAGGAGCCCCTAGTAGCGTCCTTGCTCCTAGTAGCGATGCCCTTGTTACTAGTAGCTTCTACCCTGAAAACCACGGGATTGTTGAGGAACATCATTTGGTTTGTCATGGGACCCTGGTTTGCAAAGCACTTAGTGAACTAATGTGAACCAAGTCTGTTTTTTGACCTCAAGGAGGTGTGCATTGCAATCCTGAAGCCTCCGGCAATTGGTGCCCTTAGCCAATCGTATTTATTGGACCTATCGTGTAAGATGAGACAGATGTAGTCCGATCACAGGTGCTCCCAGGCATTGATGGTATAGTCTATGAAAGACGAGTGCCCAGGGGGCCAGGGGGTTTAATCCCTCCAAACTAAGAACCTTCCTTCGCTCTATCCCACTACGAAACCTGCTGAAAACGCGTCGCAGATCCATCCGATCCAGCCCAGACAGACCGATACGAGGTGTCGCTGGTGATTTGCTACGACCTGCCCAATAACCGAGAGCTCTACATCCACCGCATCGGCCGCAGTGGCCGTTTCGGACGAAAGGGCGTGGCCATCAACTTCGTGAAGACGCCTGGCACAGCGAGACGCCTCACGAGGTGTCCGGTAGAGTCAGTGGAAGGTGGACACAGTTGAGACCTGAATTCCCCAAAACCATGGGAGGAAGTGACGGAGGAGCTGCAGTATCCGGTGGGGGGGATTGGATCTTCTTGCAGCCAATTCCCGCAAGCAGATACGGTGGGCACACGGTAGGCACGGTAGGCCAAGTCTTCCTTTGATGCTGGGACTCCTGCGGGCTCCTGCAGTCGAGCTTGTGACCTCCATAGCCACAAGGAATGATGACATCCGTATCCTCCGTGATATTGAGCAGCGCCTTGGCACTGCAGTTTGTGAGCAGTTTTCCAATGTGTCACTGCTCTTGCAGGTCAATAGCAGCCATGGGTGAGAAATCCCTTTTGCATAAATGAAGGTGCTGCTACACCATATTTATATATTATGCTGTAGGGGCTCCTGAACCATTCGCAGCATGCTATCATCAGTGGCCCCACTGGTCTTTTTGAGGTTCTACTCCACTCAGATTGATGAGATGCCCATGAATGTGGCCGACCTCATCTAAAGTGGAGCTGCGCACTGACAGGCACCGCGAAGTGTTCCATGTTCATTGGCTTGAGATATTGAGCAACTCTTTGCTGTTTCCTAGCATGATAGTAGTCACGAAGGTGTTTATACAAATATATATATATATATATACACAACCTCCCCAGTAGAGGGCAGCAGGCAAATCATTGCTTTGCCACCAAGACCTTGCCGGCTTTGCTAGGCTGAATTTGGCCGCGCTTGGCGCTTCAGAAGCGCTGAAGCTGTGCTTCAGCTCGTGAAATGTACCAACGTAACTTGATGCACAGGGCTGGGCTGGTCCCGGAAGGATTGAGATTACAATCAGTGTCACTTAGTCAAAAGCGATTTCGTTTAGCGTATTGCTGAAGGGCATGTTATGATGCCCGCAGGTTTGCAGGGGACATGGGAGCTGAGCCACGTGTGCATCCATGTTTTGCTGATGGATGGAAGAGGTTCTCACTCCAGATGTCGGATACAGTGACATCTAGGACACTGTTGGAAGACCTGCAGAGCCACGCTTATATACATGACTTCCAACTGAAGCATTCACTTGGGCATACGGCTCTTGTTGAGCATGTTGAGCAATTCCAGCACAACCGAGATCCCACTGTTCCAACTTCAAAACGTTCCAGTTTCAGGTGAACACAGGATTCGAAAGCAGCAAGACTGCAGTATGGCTCTCAAGCGAACATTGAACACGTACAACCGATTGTAATTATGTAGCTATATAACAGTAAGGTCTCCCTTGGAGGAATGCCATGTCTGCTGGTTTGGTCATCCGGAAGCTTACTCCCCCAACTCAATTACATATCCCCACGCTGAGGGTTGATTGCTGGCTCATGGGCACTTGTTTACACGTCTCCAATGTGTGTGGTCAGCCTGGTCTTCCCCGAAGCCGGACAAGGAGGTGTGACCGGAGCGATTATCATGGCTGGCTGAAGATGCGCTTGCAGAGACAAGATGCCAGGGCAAAAAAGGTATCGCACGAGTTCTGTGTTCTCCTTCCCTGGTAAGGACTTGAAGGTGAACAATCAGTGGTGACCATCCATCATGAATTTCAACGAATCTTGTGGAGGGTGGCATGTTGAATGAGTGTCCCACCGTCACATACAGCCCCGATCACCATGGGCCGGCTCGTTTCTGAATGCAAGAGACGCATTAAGTAAAACATATCTTGGAAAATCTGTCGTGCTTGCAGAGGGTGGCTTCGGCCTTGACCCAAGGTCCCAGGCCATCGCCCAGCAAGACCAGTGCGGCGGAAGAGCACCATTTTGGCCCAAGAAAAACAGCGGCCGCTCCATGCGAAGATGGTGTGACGGCCGACCAGTGCCGCTGGAGCCTCAGAAACACTCCTCATCCGGTGGAATGGGCGGTTGTAGCTTGAAATAAATGGGATCAAAACAGTGGTGGTTGTATATGGTTGTATATAATATAGAGACTCAAGAGTCTTGAACTGGATAGCACCATCCTTTCGCGCAGTGCATGTCTTGCGGTCCAGGTCCAGGTCTTTTGGTCAGTTTGATTGTGCTGAAGGCTTTGACAATTCTGAATCACGTCCAGCTGGTTTTCGACATGTGTGAGTGTGTTGGATTGTGGTATATGTAGGATGGATAGCATGGTATAGGGAGACCCCTCCCTCGGGTTGACATTTTCTTGGAGGGTTTTTTTTGGACCAACTCCTAGGACAATCACTACCCAGCAAGTCAGTCGTTCTCCAATCGACTCTACCCTTATCAGGCCTTGGTCGCGCCGGCGGCGGAGGCAGGGCTTAAGCGCTTTGGGACGACAGAATCCGCATCGTAGCTGCCTGACTCGATCCACTCGGTGTTGAGGTGCCTGGCTCGTTCGCGTTTCATGCACCCAACCTTGCACAGATTTTCTCGCCTGGTCAATGAGAATGTATGCAATCAAAGTTGTTTTGCTTCCAGGTCAGTGGTGTTGGGGCTGCCGCTGTGGCAGCCATGACTACAGACCTGTCCTGCCGTCCTGCTTGATTGGAAAGGAACCACTTGGATTGCAACCTCCCAGTGGCAATCTAGAGAATGCCCATGGATCTCAGATCTCACCAGCGGCACCTTCCTGCTTAGAAACCAGGACACCACCTCTGCATGGGCGGCGCCAGGTCCGTGCCGGACGCCAAGCGACCGCGGCTAGATGCAGGCGGTGGGAGCCGAACGACGAGGACGTGGCCCACGGATGAAGTTGACATAAAGCGCCCATGGAACGTGAACACGGGGTGAACAAGAACGCAAGAAACAGATGTTCTGATAGGTCCCGTGGGTGTTTCAGGGCTGCTAGGCTGCTTCAATTACGTAATTGGAACTGCCTCTCGAATACATAAGTAATCACTGGCTGACATGTCCGATCGATGAACACGGTTGCAGTTGCACATTGTGCTGTTTAGTGTCCTGATGTGGCCAGTCAGGGGCCCTGACCACCAAATCCATCGAAAGATTCGCTTTTCTCGTGCACTTGCTCGGTTCACCTTCTTTCCTCCACAGAAGACTCCTCACTTGTCCCAAGTCCAAACTGCCCTGGTGAGTCGGCTGGCTCAAGGCACCAACCCGAGGAAGCAGCCATTGTTTAAAGTCCATCTTTTGAGCAATTCAGCAAGTCCAGCACATCTCATTCGGAACCCAGTGAGGCCAAGTGACTCTCTCAACCAAACAGAACTTCATGTCCAAGGATTACTAAAGGAAAACACACCCAGCCAGCCGCAGAAGTTGTACAAACTTTTTTGCTAGCCCAAAGCTAGACACAGCTACACTCAGCACACGGATTTCGCTGCAGGGACAGTGTAAAACCACCCACGGTGTCGATGAGCCGCCTTTGAGACTGCAGCCGTTACTCCGTCCAAAGCAGGCAGAAGGAGCGTGCATGGGAAACTTTGTGCGATATTGGTTTGGGAAATTGTATAATATCGTATTGTATCATCATGTGTCTTGCAAAAAGTGAACACACCCAGACGCGCTCAAAGTAAAGTGTTAAGCGCGTCGCACTTGTTACGCCTCCGGCTGACTAGCTAGAGAACCAGTGACTTCGATCTTTTTCAATCATGCCAGTTTTACTTCTCCACATGAATTGAACGCCTGTGAAGAGAGAACTGGATAAGAGACAACAACTGACTGAAGTCTTTGGACATTCAAGAACTTGTTAACTCTGGGGGGGCATAGCAACTCCTCCTCTAATCATAGTGGTGCAATAGTCTATTCCACGTATGAGTCCTGCCCAGTATGGCAGCTATTCCAAGAGAATGCTCCCATTCAGTCTAGTAGAAACACTACGAACCCAGACATACATACATACCTATAGTTTCTAGGTATGTATGTTTCCGCAGACATACATACATACCTATCATTTTCCAGGTATGTATGTTTCCCCAGATATACATACCTTTGACATACATACATACCTGGAGTTTCTAGTTTCTAGGTATGTATGTTTCCTCAGACATACATACATACCTATCATTTTCCAGGTATGTATGTTTCCCCAGATATACATACCTTGGACATACATACATACCTGGAGTTTCTAGTTTCTAGGTATGTATGTTTCCCCAGACATACATACCCATAGTTTCTACGTATGTATGTTTCCCCAGACATACATTCATACATACCTATAGTTTTCTAGGTATGTATGTTTCCCCAGACATACATACATACCTATCATCTTCCAGGTATGTAT